TAGTAGGATTAAGCAGTTTAATTATTTCCGCCCCAACTGATAATTTCGGTATCTGGTGGCGACATGTTATGAACTCGGAAAACTTCCAAATCCACTATCTCCCCTGCATTTTCCTCCTTTGGAGAATTTGGAAATCTAGAAATAAAGTGGTTTTTGAATTCACTCAACCACTAGCCACATCGCTTGCCCGTCAATTTTTCTTCCAAGTCTATGAATTCTCCTCAGTCTCCTCCCAGCCTCTGGTTTTTTCGCCCCGCCCCCAGTCGTCTCGCCCATCCCGTTGGGTTGGCCCTCCAGATGGTTTTATCAAGATCAACTTCGATGCTGCTGTTCGTGTTCCGGGTTGCTCGTCAGGGCTCGTGGCTCGAGGTCCAGATGGGCAAGTCTTTTTGGCCTTGGGTTTCCTTCATCCCGGAGTTTCGGATCCCTATCTTTCAGAACTCATGGCTGCAAGGGACGCCATCTCTCTTGTCATCTCGCGAAGTCTTCCCCGTGTCATCATTGAAGGAGATTCTGAAGTAGTCATCCGTCAACTTGAAGGTAGTTGCTGTGAAGATTCGGTTGGCGGGCCCTTACTTCGAGATTGCTTTCAGTTGTTGAGGTCCTGTTCCTCGTGTATTCTTTTTAGTGCGTTTCCGAGGACTGCCAACTGGGCTGCCCATAGAGTGGCAAGACAAGCCCTGTTGCTATCCCCTGTAGAGATAGTGTCCTTCGATTTTGTAGGGTGGCTTCATTAATTTTGTTTTCGGGGCGTTGGGTAGAGGTTTTAACTATTGTACTTCGACCTTACTTGGAAAAAAAAATCAAGAGGAGGGTTGTTCAATCAACTGAATATGGGCTCTTATTTAGTCTTGTTTTTTTTAAGTTTTCCCACTGCATCTTCCTGTTTTTCACTTCCTTTGCTGCTATTCCGAAGAAACATTGTTAAAAAGAATCAACCATGCATAATGTAACCATAAGTTTTAGGGTATGCCTACTATGACATGCATGTCACCGTGATATGGACTTTTCGGTCGACCTATTCCTGAAGATAGGATATTTTTAAGGCTTCAAACAAAAAGGTCGAAGTTGCTACGAAGACTGTTTTTCTGGCAGGCTCAACTTCGACCCTTTTGTTTGAAGCCTTACTGATATCCAATCTTTCATCCAATTCATTGACTTTGTATAAAAACATACATAATTTGACGTGGTAGAGGCCCCTGGACGCGATTCGCATCCATGCTTCTCGAGTTGAGTTCCAAAGTATGCTTCACAAACACGTTCCCAGACTTAGCCATTTTCAGGCAATTTCCAAGTTTTGGCATAGCCTTTTGATCAGGTTCAAAAATGGTGTTCTAGACTTCTTATTGAGCTCCCAAGTACTTTAATGAGTTTAATGTGTAGAGGGACACTTCAGCCTCATTGATCTCCAATTTCCATCTAGCCAATTGTAAGATATGAATCTCCAAAGTAGGCACCATGAAACTATTTTCACACTGAAACAACAGATTAGGTCGACCTAATCCTATATGAGGTCGACCGAAAAGTGCATGTCACCGTAGCAAAGTCCTAATCTTTTTTAAGACCAAAAGTTTTATTGTGTATTATAGGATTGACTGATTGAGGCTTTTTTCCCCTCTTTATTAAGAACAATGATAGATATGTGTAGCTCCAATCCTCTTAATATTGAATTTAAATTAGAAAATATGGATGATATAATAAGCAAATATTGAAAGTGGGACAATAATAACCTATCAATCTATTTGTAAGTTTTGTAGATTCATATGAAATGGTTTCAATAGGTTAATAGAAATTGGACCTTTCAATAGATAGATAAAAATGGGGGTTTTAATAGGATTGAATTTTACTAAAAATTATGAGATAGGAAATAAAACTCTGTTAAAATGTGACAGGGTGAGCAAAGGCAAAAGAGATTATTAATTAAGGGTTATGCTTACATGGCGGCCAGGCCACCCAAGAATTTGATCTCCATCAGCCAGTTTCATAGTCCAGGGTATTTACTTTTATCTATAAAATATAATTCACATAATTGTTCTTTAGTTGTAAGTTGTAACTTTAGCCCACATTATTTGATTTATTTTATCATTAACCTTATCCTACATATAATTTATTTTTTCATCTTGAAATTATATTTATTTCATCGATTGTTGACTCCAAATTTTGAATTTAGAATGCAATGAATGTTCTGCTCCCGCATTACCATTAGGCCAACCTTTAGAATTTGAAATCATTATTTTATACTCAGTTTTGTTGCTTTGCATTTTCACTAAATTGTTAATTGTAATGAATTTTCTTATTAAATGAAGAAATTTTAATTACTTGCACATGATCTAAAAGAATTAGTTGAAAGAAAAATGTATTGCCCGGCCAACCGGCCGGGGCCACAATCTAGTTCATTTTTTGATAAATGTGTTGCTTAATTGCTTTCACAGTTCCACATTTAATTCATTAATTGAGAGGAGGGTTTCGTTATACCCAAGTTCATTAAGGCTAAGATAGTGACAACTTTAACTCATAGGATGCTCAAATAAAAGCACTATGTGATGGATTTTTTCCCCTATACATGGGGTGTTACACATTGGTCTAATTGAGCTGTTACTAGTGGCTCACGAATTACAATGTCGTGTTCGAAGTCTTTTTTGCATCCTCTTGTTTGGTGCCATTTACTAAATTGACAGCAATTAATTGTAAATGGATATGTATTATAAAATCGAGAGGAGTCGTACAAGAGTTGAATTAAAAAGGTAGACATGAAAATTCAACATGCAGGATATGTGAGTTACTCATGATTTTGATGGTGAAGATTATATAAATGGCTAAGTATAAAGTTATAAAATTATTAGTAATTAGTGGCATATCTATATGATTATTATCATCATTCTATATATTGATTAGAGCCGAGAGCTTTGTTATACATTGTACTTCATTCATTAGACAATCGATTATGGTTAATAAGTAATAACTTTGCTATATATTATACTCCATTCATTAGACAATCTCTAATCTCAATGCATTTGTTAAAATGATAGATATATTATATATAAATGTCCTAATTTGAAACAACAAATATACAGATTATAATTTACACCAAGGTTTTCCTTTCTCAAATTTCCAATCATCTACATAACACAATACACCTATAAATGTATATCAGCTTATAATTATCAATAAAAAAATCATTTCTCTGATAAAAAAATTAAATAATGATTTTCTTGTTTATTAATTTGTAGTTTCGATCCATCGAAATTTTGTATGTAATGTTAGCATTGGTACCATCATTACTCATTAGTAGTATAAAAGAGGCTTCTAGGAATTGCCTTTGTCAACATGGCCTAAGCTGTCCGCAAGAGAGAGAAAAATCAGTAGTCGGCACAAATTCGTGTATTAGTATAATATAAACAAGACAATTGTGTAGTCAATTGCTATAAAATGATGGACGAATACAATCACAACTTACGAAAATGCAAGAGGAAAGTTTTTATTCATTCATTTATTTGTTATTATAATAATGTTTGGCTCGACTTTTAGAAGTACTTTTCAATTTCAAAAGCTGAAGTATGGTCAAACACCTCTAAAAACTCTGCTTTAAAACGCTTTTGTATAACATAAAAGCAGAAGTTTCGATTTGGAGCTTCTACAAAAAAGCTATTTTGAAAATACAACACTATTTTAATTTTATTTCAGAAAATATAATTTTATTTTATTTATACCATTAAAAAAAATTATAAAATCATATTATTTAATATAAGAGAAATCTAACAAGGTCCATTTTGACTATTTTTTGTTCTTTTAAATTTTTATTCATATTTTATATTATAAGTCCTTTATAGTTATTTTACACAACCTATCACATTAAAAAGCATTTCTAATATTTTTTCAACCAAACACTCCAAAAAGTATTTCTTGAAAAATTCAAGTCAGAAGCTGATTCTGCAAAAGCAACAACAGGGCCAAACTAGCCCAATAGTGTTTTTTTTTATCAACACGCACATGGAAAAAACTCTTTACAACGACACACCTTATGTGTATCCGTTCTGATTGTCAGCGTTTGACGAATGTGTTGAGACAGGATTCGAGCCTCTGGCCCTGCCAGTGTCGGGCTTCCCTTGCTCGGGTGGTCTCCATTCTCTGTGCCTCTCCTTGGATCTCCATCGAGTTTGTTCCTCGTCAATTCAATAAGTTGGCTGATTGGATCGCTAGGAACTCTCGTCTTGATCTCCTTCCTCCAGATTGGATTGTCATTGCCGACCTTGTCGCTCCATTATTGTAATCGTTGTGCTCCCCTTTGTTTGGGTTTGGAATGAAATGAATGATGATTGTTGTAAAAAAAAAAAAGACACACCTTATGAGTGATGATGAGATATAAAAGAAATTTAAATATGAGGAAATTAAAGAAATTCTTAGACCATCTCCATTTATAAAATTGTTTAGCAATTTCAAAATATGGTTCCTAGAGCCACATCATCAATTTTAGCAATTCATCACTTTGCAATTTTTAGTCATCTACATCCCTAAACTATGTTAGCAATTTCTAATATGGGCCCATCTATTATTTTAACCAACCTCGACACATTGTAATTGAAAGTTAGTAAGTAAGAAAAATAAAAAAGACAATAATTATCTATGTAGCATTGCTAGAAGGCTTGCTAAATTTGAAATTACTCTCACACCCCTAGCTATTTCTAAACAAATGCCATATAAGCTCCACCTTATTTTAGCAATTGCTAAAGTTTGGAGATGGAGATAATGTTAGATCGTTTGGGAATAGTAATCCAATCTTGAGGAAGAGTGGAATGAACTTGAGCTTGAGACCTAACTACCCAATTTGCTGGAAAATTAAGGCGACGAGGAAAAGCTTCCACCTTGATGAGATTCGTGCACCCAATTCAATCCGGCAAATCTTGTCTATTATGGCAAGAATCCGGTAAATTAAGCTAACTCCCGAGGGACGGTAAATCAAACCATTAAAAAAGCCCTAAATCCGTCTATAGAATTGAAGACTTGAACCGAAGAGCAGGAAGAGAAAAGGCGGGAAAACTATTTCTCAGTCTCTATTCCTCTTCCGCTCTCTTCTTTCCAATTAGTTTAACCTTCCCCGGAAATCGGGAAGTAGAAACTAGTTTCCTTATCTCTACTACCTTTCACTAAATTATGAACCTCGCCGGCAACGCCAAGAAGCGACCGCCGCCGGGGCAACCATCCCCCGCGGCGAAGGTCCAGGCGAGGGGACCGGAGGACGAATTCGTCGACGAGGATGTGTTCCTTGAGGAAACCCTCATAGCAGAAGACGAAATGAACAGCAACCGTGAGTGGGCTCTGGAGTCGCTCGCCTCTAACCTGGCTAAGTGGAAGCGCCCTTCGCTCTCTCCCGACTACGTTTCCCAGTCCACAAGCATCAGTGAGTATTACTCTTTTCCTTTTGCCGCATCTCTATGCATTGTTCTCCAACTGTCGTTAGAGGAAATTGCCGAAGATTCGATGGCTGAATTATTTAATTTCGGCTAATGTGAGCAGCGTTTCAGCAGTTAGAGCTGGATTATGTAGTTTCGGAGAGCCACGAGGAATTGTTGGGCGATTCGTCGGGTCATGCCCCAATTATCAGAATTTTCGGGGTTACAGCAGAAGGTTGTATTATTTTTGGAATGAAGAATAGGAAATTTGATTTTAGGGTGCGATGAACTGTTTAATATCTGTTGGACTATCTGCTTAACTTGATCAGTTGCAATGCTCATTAGGTCATAGTGTGTGCTGCAAAGTTCATGGGTTTGAGCCCTATTTCTACATTAGTTGCCCTCCTGGAATGGGTCCTGATGACATATCCCAGTTTCATCAGACCCTTGAGGTATGGGGATTTGGGAATGTTAGATTTGTTATGGGTTGATCAGTTTCTCTGATTCAGTCGATTTATAATACGTGCTTATCTGTTTCAGTGGAGAATGAGGGAGCTAAACCGGGATAGTAAAGTGTCAAAGATCATCAAGAGAATCGAACTTGTACATAAAAAGAGCATCATGTACTACCAGCAACAGGAATCCAATCCATTTCTTAAGATTGTTCTTGCTTTGCCAACAATGGTTCCCAGTTGTCGTGGTAAGAGACCACTATGTATAGTGCATTTCGTTCATTCTTTTCCTTTCCAGGTTGCTTCTCGATTCCTGTTTTTAATTGTTGGTATGACCGCCACCACTGCTGCGTTCATCTGTGGATGCTTTTCAAACTTGTGCTACACAATTGAGGAGGCCAGCGATCAGAATGAGCTTTGATGGATGTGTTTGAATTCTGGGTCTGTACATGTAGGTATTCTTGACAAAGGGATCCAGATAGACGGCCTTGGTATGAAGAGCTTCATGACCTATGAAAGCAATGTTGGGTTCGCTCTCCGTTTCATGGTTGATTGCGGGATTGTTGGTGGAAATTGGATTGAAGTTCCTGCTGGAAAATATCAAAAGGCAGTAAAAAATATCTCCTATTGTCAATTAGAAGTCGACTGCTTGTATCCTTGCTGCTGGCAATTGCCTGCCTTTGGAATATCTACAATACCTTCTTTGTATAGAAATCTTCTAGATTGGTTTTGCTTCTTACTACCACGTCTAGGTATTCTGCATTGGTTAGCCATGCTCCAGAAGGAGAGTTCTCAAAGATGGCTCCCTTCCGCATATTGAGTTTTGATATTGAATGTGCTGGACGTAAAGGTCATTTTCCTGAGCCTACTCATGATCCTGTTATTCAGGTTCAATACTACTCTCTTATCTGCATAGTTTGCTGGAAAATTTTACTTTTATTAATGTTTATGTATCTGCTCGTGTCCTAAGTAAATATTTTGCCTCCTTGTAGGTGGCCAACCTAGTTACCTTGCAAGGGGAGAGCCAACCATTTGTGCGTAATGTTATGACACTTAAATCATGCTCTCCTATAGTTGGCGCGGATGTGATGTCTTTTGAAACGGAAAGAGAAGTACTGCTAGCTTGGAGGGTATTAGACTTTTCTAAACTGCTCTTGCTTACATTAGATCTACTGCCTAATTTGTTCTTTGATCTATTGCTTTCACACTAGAAGTCTAATGGGTTTTTTCTTGCAGGATTTTATCCTTGAAGTGGATCCAGATATTATTATTGGATATAATATCTGTAATTTTGATTTACCATATCTCATCGAGGTAAAAAGCTTGACTAATGCATCTTTGCTGCACAAGTTTTCCTATTTTGATCACTTTGCACTATGGGAAAGTAGTGGGTTGTGCTTAGTTTTGCATGTGAGGATTTTATTGAACTTTTTTCTGCTGTAGAGAGCTCAAAGCTTGGGCATATTGGAATTTGCAGTTTTGGGACGCATTAGAAACACCAGGGTCACGGTCAAAGATACGACTTTCTCATCAAGGTAGGGTATTATAGAAATTAACTGTTGCTAGTCTAGAAAATGTCAGATGATTTAGACTTGCTCTTTTCATTTTAAATACATAATTTTTTGCTCTGTAGAGAATGCAGAGTAGATTACAGACATTGGTCGGTCACCTTTGCATTTACTGTTTCTAGTAGCATGCATTGGGTTTCTTAAGTAATTGTTTTCTTCTTACAGGCAGTATGGAACACGGCAAAGTAAAGAAATTGCTCTAAAAGGGAGAGTTCAGTTTGATTTACTTCAGGTTCTGTCTCTTTAATATGTGGTTAAGTTTAATCAACTCAGTTTGGTTGTCCCTTAACTGGATTATTTATGTTACTTGCAGGCTATTCAAAGGGACCATAAATTGAGCTCTTATTCATTAAACTCTGTTTCAGCACACTTTCTTTCTGAGCAGGTAATGGTTGATTTTCTCTTTGAGATGAATGGAAGAAATGAACCTTGGATGATTGGACTGATGTCGCTGACCAACTATTCTCATGCAGAAAGAGGATGTCCACCATTCAATAATATCTGACCTTCAAAATGGCAATTCAGAAACAAGGAGGCGCCTTGCTGTTTATTGCTTGAAGGTTCTGGTTTAGCCTTAGAACATCTTCAACAGTTATCTTTTGTTTCACATCTAAATAGTCGCTTTCTTTCTGTTTCTCTTTGTGTATGATTAATATTTCCTTTTATGATATCCTGATGGATAGTTTCTGTCAAGATGTGCAGTAAACACACAGTGAGCCCAAATTTTTAGCTCAAGATTTCTGGTCCTGATATTACCCTCAGATCAACATTCTAGATTTGCAAAATTCTTTGGTGCATGTTTGTGATGTTTTTTGGTAGCTTAAGATAGTACTTCTGCCTCCGATAGGAAGCTATATTCAACTTTCCCCCAGTTTGTTTAGTAAGGATTAACAGACTGTATATCTGGCAGACAATAATGCATTTATGAATGGTCTGTGTAGGATGCTTACCTCCCACAGAGACTTCTGGACAAACTGATGTACATATACAATTACGTAGAAATGGCTCGTGTAACTGGTGTGCCTATATCTTTTCTTCTTTCTAGGGGACAGAGTATCAAGGTATGTTGACATGCTAATTAGTAGCAATTGATGCTTAGATTGAGCTAGATATCTGAATTGGTAGTGGATTTTACCTGGCTATCAGGTACTTTCTCAACTTCTGAGGAAGTCCAAGGAAAAGGGTCTTGTTCTTCCATATGTTAAGCTGGCAGGATCAGATCAAGGAACAACATATGAAGGTGCAACTGTGAGTGTTATCGGTTACATATTTTCTAATTGCCCGAATTGAAATTATTTTCAAATTATTATAGTTTCCAGGATCAGTGAACCTATTATAGTGGAAATTACATCAAATGCATCATTATTGTCGGTGTTGTTCAACCATAAATTCTTGTTTTCCATTCCAAAAATACTAATTGAGTTTCCCTTTTCTACTTGCATTGTACTCATAGCTCTCTCTTTTTAAACAAACCGCCATTCCATTATTTTGTCCCTTTCTCCTTTTCTTCCTTTATTTTCCTTCTGCAGATGGTCATATAATCTGTAGCTTTGTAGACTCTCTGTCCTGTTTTTTCCTTCGCTGTATTTGGACGATGCTTTCTTTTTTTGTCTAAGTTATCCAGATGAAGTTTTGCCGATTATTTCTTGTTTTTACTTATCGTTTTCTAATTATTGAATGTTTTGCACAATTCAGGTTTTGGATGCTAAAAAGGGATTTTACGAGAAGCCAATTGCAACATTGGATTTTGCTTCTTTGTATCCATCGATAATGATGGCATATAACTTGTGCTACTGCACTCTGGTAATTAGTCAAATGATGAATTTTGAGCTGTCTTTCTCATTTTGCTAATTGTTTTATTACTTGTATGACTGCGCTGATTCTTCATGTCCATAATTCATTTATTTTGACATTATAAGGCTGTTCTAAAGTTTCACCTTTGTGCTTTTGAAGGTGACTCCTGAAGATGTTAAAAAACTTAACCTGCCTCCAGAATGTGTCAACAAAACTCCTTTGGGTGAAACATTTGTCAAACCCAGTTTGCAAAAGGTCAAAACATAGGCTATGAAATGAATTCGTTAGTTTTGACACTAAAACTGGCAAAAGCAGGAGACTCTCCCCTAAATACCAAACTTGTCACTCATGAAGCGTGATGTCTTTCATTATCCTTTTGCAGGGAATTCTTCCTGAAATTCTTGAAGAACTTATTGCTGCACGTAAAAGAGCAAAAGCAGATTTAAAGGTTCATTTGTTTTTATGTTCAACTTTCACTGATTGCTCATATTGTGCCTTTGTTTTCTAACTGACCTTGATTACCTCGTTATGGTGTTATTTGATAACAGGAAGCGAAGGATCCATTTGAGAAGGCTGTTCTAGATGGCCGCCAACTAGCCCTCAAGGTAAGATTATTGTCAATATAGGAACCAGATGGTCCAGGTTTTTAACAATGAGATTGACTTCTTTACTCCCTTTCCTGCTTTGTTTCTTGTACTTTTCAGATAAGTGCGAATTCAGTATATGGCTTTACAGGAGCAACAATTGGCCAATTACCATGCCTAGAGATATCCTCAAGTGTGACGAGCTATGGTATGCCAATCTCCCTGCTAAACTTGTGCAGAGTCAAGTTGGCTCCAATGGGTTTCTGTGCACCTCTTCTTTTTCCCTTTACCTATTTAGCGGGTATCTGTTGCAGCCTCTGAATATTAACGAAATAAAAGCTGTTGCCCTTTGACTTGTGTACTGTGGTTAACGGATTTCTCACAATGGAAAGGTCGCCAAATGATTGAGCACACAAGGAAACTTGTCGAAGACAAATTTACTATGAGGGGAGGCTATGAGTTCAATGCTGAGGTATATAATCATACTTGAACCACATTATTGTATTTAATCATACTTAAACTATAGCAAATGTTCAAAGTTGAACCAACGTTTAGACTATGTTACTCGTTTGAACCTGGTGTGTCTGTAGATTTACCCTATCTTATCTGATCTCTATTTCAGGTTATATACGGTGACACAGATTCTGTTATGGTACAATTTGGGGTGCCTACAGTAGAAGAAACAATGAGATTAGGAACAGAAGCTGCTGAATATATTACTGAAACTTTCATTAAAGTAAGTTCCAGCACTTTCACAAGCTGCTGAATATATCAGGTCTATAATTATGTGTTACATATGCAATAACATGTCTTGTGGTTTCTCTAAATTTATATAATTCCACTTATTGACCATGAATTTGATATGAACTTTAAGTTATTGAGCTGACTTCTATGGCTTGCTTATTCTTATGAGTAATTCCATTTGTTTTTTTTTTTTTTTTTTTGTGGGGGAAATTCTATTTTCTGAAGCCCATCAAGCTAGAGTTTGAGAAGGTTTATTTTCCATACCTATTGATAAGCAAGAAGAAATATGCTGGCTTATACTGGACGACTCCAGCAAAATATGACAAAATGGATACTAAAGGTAAAGCCTGAAATAAACAAGCAATTTTTTTGCGCTTTGAAATTTTCTCCTGGCTTACTGACTTCAATTTAATTCATGGACAGGAATTGAGACTGTTCGAAGAGACAATTGCCTTATGGTAAAAAACTTGGTAACTGAGTGTCTGCATAAGATACTAATGGACCGAGATGTCCCTGGTGCAGTTCAATATGTGAAGAATATTATTTCAGATCTTCTCATGAATCGTTTGGACTTATCACTCCTTGTTATTACTAAGGTGACAATCTCCTTTTGTGTTTTCTTTTTGCATGCTCACTTTGAACTGAATTGTTAGGAATATCTTGCATTACTGCCTTTATCTGGTTTGATGGGTTTGGTTTCATCAGGGTCTGACCAAGACAGGAGATGACTATGAAGTAAAGGCTGCTCATGTTGAGCTTGCTGAACGCATGCGCAAGGTTCTTTCAAAATTTTCTACCGTTTCGCTTTAGTATTTAAGTTATTGAAATTTTAATTATTTTTTTCATTGTTTTGCATTTGTCCAGGCTTAGTTTTGTAGTACTTGTGCCTCCAATGATTTTCCGCTACAACTTAAACTTTTCTTAATCGATTTAGAAGCTAATTGTTCAATTAAATAATAGGATTTCCGATTTGCTTAACTCGTGCTTAATTTCTCTGCCTTTTCTTTCTCATTCTGAATGCGATCTGTACTCTCTTCAGATCCTCCAACACTGCTTACTTTCTGATTAACAGAGAGATGCTGCCACTGCCCCAAATGTTGGGGACCGAGTTTCTTATGTCATGATAGAATCTGCAAAAGGAGCAAAGGTATGGTTTCTCTCGATGTTCCACTAATTTATGGCGAACCCAACTTATGTTCCGTGAGAGATCAGCAGAATGTCAGGATTCTCATTCAAAGGGCATTTCTTTAACTAAACCAACTGTGATCTGCTATTTTGGTCAGGCTTATGAGAAATCCGAGGATCCCATATATGTGCTAGAGAATAACATTCCAATAGACAGTAAATACTACCTCACAAATCACCTGGAAAAGGTAAGTGTAATGTATTTCTGCAGCAATTTGCTGGATGGAACTAATGTCAAGTTTTTTGCATTTCCAGCCACTTCTACGAATCTTCGAGCCTATTTTGAAGAATGCAAAAGACGAGCTACTCAGTGGGGCCCACACCAGGAACATATCTAAGCCCATTCCTTCAAGTGGCGGTATTATGAGATTTGCAAAGAAACAACTCACTTGCCTTGGCTGCAAAGCGTTGATTAAGTATACAGTTTTTGGATACTTTACATTCTTTATGGCGTGGATATCATATATGGTTTCAGGAGTTTTCAAATAACATACTTTCTCCAATTGCTATGTTGAACCAGGGATTCAGAACGGACTCTTTGCTCACATTGCAAAGGAAGAGAGGCCGAGCTGTACTCCAAGAGTGTTTCTCAAGGCAGGGGCACAAAAAATGATTTCTTGCTTGTTCATGTTTCTTGAGATTGAAAGCCTTTTTCTTTTTTTGCTTTCTCACAGGACTCTTCTTTTTGATGCAGTGGCTGATCTAGAGTCCCTTTTCGGGAGGTTATGGACACAGTGCCAGGAATGTCAAGGCTCCCTTCATCAAGATGTGCTGTGCACAAGGTAAAACCTGTCGTTGTCAAACTATGTCACATTATGCTTTCTTTCTCGAGAGTGATGGTTGGACTTACTCTCTTGATTTTCACAATGGGGAGGAGCAGTCGTGATTGCCCTATATTCTACCGGCGGAAGAAAGTACAGAAAGACATTACTGAAGCAAGGCAGCAGCTCGATCGCTGGAGCTTCTGAGGAGTGTGTATTATTGGCAATGCTAAGCTTGGCGACCATGTTGTACTCAATGGTGACGTTAGGGGATGATGGACGCAAATGGAATACGAGGGGTTGTTCATCATTCTGCATTTTCTTAGTTATCGGAGATGAGTTGTCGAGGCAGGTAGTTGGCTGCAGGGATTTTTTGCACCCTGTACATATCCTATATCTGAGGATTGTTTGGTTGAGCCCTTGAGCTGGGTCTCAATTAGTAAGATAGTTATGCTCGGCTGCAGTTGAAAGAAGCCTCAGATAGCAGCATTGATAGGTTTGGCAGAGGAGTGGGCCACTTCAGCTTGTACATGGATGTCTTTGTTAATCGTCATAGCAAAAGACAAATTATTGGTTATAGAAAAATTATACTTGAATAATAAATTAATAATTAGGTTCGTATTTTTATTTAGATTTAGCCATTTAGGAGAGCGAAACGTAATGGTGTACACCAGTGCAAGAAGCAAGCATCCCACCATTGAAATTTTCAAACATTTACATATGTAACCGGCGTGTATAAAACAAAGAATCGCTGTGTTTTGCTAATTTGTAGCTACTATGGTACCATCACTAGCCAATCCCTTTGTTCAACAATATCAACTCCAAATGGGGATTGATCCTTATTAACGTAGTCAAATGGATAGAAGTTAAGACCAAATCATTCAAAGAACCGAATAGACGGAAGAGCCACATCTCTTTAGATTGCCATGAGGAAGCACAAAAACTCTGCTACCACAGGTAAGTAGAAGAACAATAAAGAGGTGTGAAATCCTAAAAATGGTCGTCTCTCTTTGATTCATAATAATGAGCTTAGCCTGCCAAATAGCTGCACAAGAAAGGGATGCTCTACTAGAATCTTTCACTTAGGGACTAGGAACACATCCAATACTGGTAATACCCATCTAACCTAATGCACAAAGCCACAAACCAAAGCTATGCCAGCCTGCTCATGTGCTATCCAAGAACAAAAGTAAGTTAAGCAAACCATAGCAAAGAACATAGTGAAACCCTTTCGTTGAAATGAACTCAATATTCATATGGAAAATCCCTTAAAAAGGAAGACTGATGTTTGATGAAACACATCGAAAATACAGAAACACAAATCTCAAAGTAGTTTCTACTAACTAGTACATAAAAGTCACCAGGGGAAAATGTTGTGAACATCATATTCATCGCTTTCCACCACCACCACCAAGCTTGGGTCCACCCTTAGGTGCAGCACCTCTCGGCATCTTACTGCCTTGGGACTTCTGACTCTTGGTCACTTCCGCCTTCTTAGCCTTCTTCTCGTCCTTGGTTTTCTTAATCCTCTCCTTGATCTCACTACAAACATTCAAACCAACAGGAACAGAAAAATAAATTCAGTTGAAGAAGAAACTTCATTTACAATCCCATGGTCAAAAGGAGTAGATGGTACGATTCACACATACCGAATGGCAGCTTCACGAGCGGCATCTCGAACTTCAGGCTTCTCAGCCCTCCTCTTCTGGATGACCTCCAACGAAGCACCAACAATGGACCTTGAGTAAGGCTTCTTGTTGGTCCTTCTCTTCTTCTTCACAGATTCAGCAGCGATATCCTAAAGTACACAAACGATTATCAGCATGGTAAGCAATCGAATGGATTGAGATTTGAGACTTTTCTAGCATAAACAGAAACCCAAATGGTAAAACGCAAAAAGGATGTTACCTTCTTGTGCTGCTTCCTGAACACAGCTGTCCAGGTAAGCTTGGAAGGCTTCAGGCGGTTGTGGAAGTACCTCTTGCATTTGGAGTTTGCAAAGAGGAAAACCTTTACACCCAAGTCAACAAAAGAAAACAACAAATCAATTTCCAATCGTTCTTTTACGAGAATCAAACTAAGGCGATATGGCTGACACAGTATACGATGACTGACCTGAGAATCAGCACGGATGAATCTGATGCCCCTGCCCGGGTAAATCTTTTGCCCGCTGAAGCGGCATAGCTCAGTTCTGTGATAAAACAAAAACCACATGCACATGACGACATCAGCAAATCGAAGCTAAGAAAGGGAAAGAAAGAAGAAATGGAAAAGAAACCTAAACAGAGCATAGAGCGATAGAGCAAAAATCACTGAAACACTATGTTCTGCAAAGTTCTTATCGAATGTATGGACAAAATTCCATTTTCAGGGAAGCATAAACGAACAAGAAGACCGATTCGAAATTTCTGAATCCGATTCAAAGTCGCATTGCTCTCGGTCTGAATCAGTCAACAAACACATACGAATCAAAATCAACAATCTGAATGTTCCGCAGAACAGGAAAGAATGGCTCAGAGAAGGAGCGAGACAGGGAAAGGGAGGAGACGAACTTGAGAACCATTGCGATGAGATGTTGGCGTCGCCGCTTTGCTCCTCCTGTTGCTGCTGTTGTGGTTCTCTGAACTCCGAAAACCCTAGCTCTGTCTCCGCTCTCAAATTTAACCCCTTCGAGAGAAAAAGAAGAATGGAGATGGGCTAAGGGTTTCTCTTAAACTAAGCTGGGCCAAGAAAATCTAAAGCCCGATAGAAGAGACCAGCGGGCCTTACTATTGTTAAGTGGCTACTCGTACCACTTGACATTCAACTGACTTACGCATTTGGTAGTTCAATTAGGAGGATTAAACAATTTAGCTAATCTACTTATAGATCCTCAAATTTCTGGAGCCCTGGTGGGAACTTGATTGGTTGCTAAAACTGCTAAAGAAGTAAAGAACTAAAGAAGGCGCACACGCTCAACTTTGTAACTACCAGACCTTATATTCATGAAATTGCCCACAAATTAGGTCAGCGCTTGAGTTGATTAAAAATTACAGTGCCGCCCTTAAAGAAAGCACGACTCTTCCACCACATTGACAATGGGAGTATGGGACACAGGCGTCTCTACTTGCTAATGACTCTAACCTAAGGAACTCAATTACATGTAATAAGATAGGCTTCCTTGGAAACATACAATGCACTTCCACACTTCAAAACAACAGGTTCCGAAGCATCAAAATCACCGCCATTTCCACATCAGAAGCCCGCCAGAACCGTACACCGAGCTTTCTGCTCATACTGCCTTGGCCGTGTCACGAACCAGAGCAAGTTTAGCCAATAGGCCACACAGCTGAAGATAGGAACCAACTCCATCACAGATTCTCATGTGGGCAAACCCTGTTTCCTGCACTTTTGATAAAAGCAATGGAAGAGAAGAATGTTACAAAGACATCGCCTGAAGCCTAGAAGGTGGTGGTCTTAGGGATGAAAATCATCACTTTACCTTCATGAATTCTAGCTTCAGATACTCGGCCATGTCGTAATTTTTTATGATCCGGAAGAGAGTTGTAATGATATCAGTTGGGGAATAACCAAGGTCATAAAGCTGCTTCAAACCAGAGCAAGCATCATCAAACTTTCCCTCAAGGACTTGGCGCACCATATTCTTCATGTGCAGAGGATGAGGCTGGTCGCATACCTGATATGGTGACAACGCACTGTTAGATTACAGAAACATATTGTTGTTCATTATAGAGGCACCATTTGTTTGAGCAAAATCTGGAAGTTCTTACCTTGAAAACATTCTCCTGGTTGACAAATCGGAATCCACTGTATGTAGCTTGCAAGTTATTGAGTGCCTGCCTCATATCCCCATCAGCTGTAAAAATGATGGCTTCGAGCCCTTCAGGGACGTATGGAACCTTCATAGATTAAACAAAAAAGAAAACGAATGATGATGCTACTCCCTTATTAAGCTACCATATCATGACATTATCATATAAGGAGTAATTACATATGAAGAAACCACTGCCAAGAGGTAAAACTCACAATTTCACAGAGAGCTCAACCCACATCCCTAACTCTCCTCCTTAAGATGGATAATAATCGATAACCAAATTCCAAATGTCATTAGTCATTACTAAGCCACACCATACTGATGTCTGAGTAGTGTTTTAGTCTTGTTCCTGAATCTGTGATTATTCTGGTGGCCATCTGACTACACTGGATTAACTGTACATATCCATCATCACGTCTTCCTACTCTATGGTCAGCTCACATTTACTATTTCACAGATGATGCTATCAAAAACTACAATGCTGACATGGCCCAGTGAACTAAAGGTCATATGGGATCTTAAGAAACCACACAGAAGAATAGACGTCAAAGATTATATATCAATTCCAAGATTGGCACTGCTTAATATTGTGCTATAGGCAAGTATCAAGTTGAAAGTCAAAGACTACAAACCTTTTCTGCTTCCACTACCACCATTAGACGACCAAGAATCTCCTGATCAGACAGTCTTGAAAATCGAACAAGAGCACATCTACTCTGAATAGGCTCAATCACTTTAGAAGAAGTATTGCAAGCAAGAGCAAAACGGGTGGTCTGGGAGTATATTTCCATTGTCCGTCTCAGGGCTTGCTGCGCTCCTGATGTCATGCTGAATATTCATCATCGATAATAGATGGGTTAAATGACTTCAACCATTGAATGCTTTCACGTAAATACTTGAATGATTGCAAGTTCCAGGGTTATGGGATTATAATTCAGCTCACCTGTCAGCTTCATCGAGAATCACGATTTTGTGCCTCCCAGGTGGAAGTGTTAACTTCATCTGTGCAAACATTTTTATTTTGTTCCTCACTACATCTATTCCTCTGCACATTGAAAACACAGGGACTAGAATTAACTAACAGATACAGAAGGCTCAACAACTGAATCAACGACAGCCTTCAATGTCACCAAGCACAAAAGGGAACGAATCATGCTTATTCACCTTTCATCGGATGCATTTAACTCTAAAACAGCATCTTTATAGCTAGGCCCAAGAAGCTCGTGCGCTAGAGCGAGTATACTCGTAGTTTTCCCAGTTCCAGGAGGACCCTGGCAACGTTCAAAGTGCCGACATCGTAATGTGAAATTTCCCAAGCAAACAAGATTACAAAACCAGAACTACATCACTGCGAAGAGCGAAAACCCTCACTCACTTCCAATTGACAATTGTTAAGGAAATCCCATAAACGGGCATAAGCAAGTTTCTAAACTGAATCGGAACAGAAGACCGAGAAGAAGAAGATGAAGGTGAATACGTACAGATAAAATCAAATTAGGTAGGTTGCCCTGGGTGGCGATGACCTGGAGTCGGGAGATGGCGTCCTCATTGCCGACGATATCGGCCACTTTGCTCGGCCGGTACTTCTCCACCCATGGGATGTCGTAGCTACTGCCGGCGGAGGAGGAAGACGAAGCCATTGATTGTCGGCTGTCGCCCTTTCGACGAGAGCTTGACTTGGAAGAGTGCGGGAAGAGTGAAAGGGGACCGAGGGGAAAAAGGTGAAGGGTTGAATTTAGCGTTTAAAAGTTGAATTAAGAGTTTAAGAGTTTAGGAGTTGAAATATCGTTTAATATCCCGTTTAATATAAATGAATTTCATATGTTTTGGGAATTCACTTCGAAATGAAATATTTTTATTTTTTATATTTAAAAGAATTTATTTCAATTCTAGATTTTAAATTCTATGGAATTGGAATTAGTTATAGCAATTTCGAGAAATTGAGATGAAATTTCTAAATGAATTCCACAAGTATTTATTAATCATAATTAGAATGACATAATTATCTTATTTTATTAACTAAATTACTTATACATGTGACATACCAAACACAAAAATTCATTTGACAATGAATTCTTCATGACAATTCATTTATTTCTAAAGATTTGAATATGACATACCAAACACAATATTTCATTTGACAATGAATTCTACACAGTAATTCATTTTACAATGAAATGAATTCTCAATTCATTTGGTACCAAACGATCTGTAAGAGTTGAATTTAGAGTTTATGAGTAGAATTTAGCTTTTAGGAGTTGAATTTAGCATTTATGTTCACAGAAATATTGATGTGTTATATTGTAATTTTAGGAAAAATGTCAGATTGGTTGTCGCCCGATTATGATTACACATAGGAATTTGAGAAAGGGATCCATTAGTAAGTTAAATGATATATTAATTAAATTAAATTAATATAATATTCACACTCTTTCAGCCCATTCAAATTATAATTATCGAAGAATATACACTCTTACACTCCCGTTCTTACTCCCTCTCCGCGAATTGGTAAGTTAAATCCGTCAAGTCAATTTTGTAGACAAAGAGACTATTGACAGAACTCGACTTCCATAACATATTGCCTTCCCTCGCAAACATCCCCACGTTCATTCCCACTTGCCCGTTCCTAATTAATTCCACATCTGACACACACTGCCGCCATACGAGCGCGACCTTCATCGCGTGATGAATAGATGTTGTTGGAGTGTTTTTTAGGAGCTCGAAGGAGGATAGTGGAAATCAACAGATAGAGAAACAAATGTATGTAGTCCGGGTGAGGAAGAATATTATCCATATGTAGATGAGATTTTATATAATTTATAAATAATATAATGACTTTTTCATAAATCCGGGCAAAAGCGGACTAAAACCATTGGACCATGAACTCTCAACCCACTTAATTAATTGAGCTAACGAGCTAAACCGGGTTGACAACCTTTGATACTTTGAAATTCATATATTCTAAAAATTTTGGGTTTCAAATTTGATGATTGAGTCAAATCTATCAATAATTGAGGACTTTCAGAGAGTGGTTGAAATTCAAAAGTCGGTCTTCAAGGTTATTTTGTGACAGACGAGTTTTTGAGTTTATTTATTGTTGGGTCGAAGAAAGAGAAAGCAGAATAGATGGATGATGGGATTGTGACTATTAATTATTGGGAGTTGCAGACGGAGAAGATAAGTCATAAAATGAGGGTAAATTTAATTTGTTAATACGTATATACTATATAGTATGCGAACCTGTTTGATGTGAAAAATAGTAGAGGGATAGATTTGAGAAAAATGGATTATAGAGTGACAATTTATGTTATTAACTCCACATAAAAGTCAAAGATCGTATTGGTAGAGTAGAATTTAAGGTTTTATATTGTTTGGATTTTCTTAACTTTTGTACGTGCAATAGTATCAAACATTTAACAATCGCCACTTATTATTCAAACAAGCCTATACAATAAATTATAATAATTTATACAATAAACATTAATTTTTGTGTTCTTCCATATTTTAGATTTCTAAGTATAATCTTTTCGTTATTCTCTTGATTTTTCAATATACCTTCAATTCCGACCATTTCTAGATGACATATATTTCTTTCCAGCTCCAAATTCATACCCGACAATAAAAAGTCCACAAATTTCTTCTAAGATATGAAAAAAATACACAACAGTACACTAATACGACTTGATAAAAAATACATATTAACTAATTATCGCTAATATAATAATCAACAAATACCATAACAATTACTTTAAAATAATGAATTAACTATTGTTGTTGTATACAGCTGGATCTTTTCTTGCAGGAATGAACTTTCACATCTGTTGGGGGTATCACAAGGCCAGTTAGGGATATGGGCTCCCAGACAAAGGAATTGGGGGGCAAGGCCCAAGAAGGGGCCCTGGAAAAGGCCTCATGGCCCAAATAAGTGGAAGGGCGCATGAAGACAAAACGCTAAAGGCCAAAGGAATCCAGGCTGGCTGGTGGTCCATTACCTGGGGGCGCCTGTCATGTGTCAGGAGCCTGACAAGGTGGTTGGGGTGCCTGACAAGGGGAGTACAAAACATTAAATGAGCGCAGTGACGTGGAGGAGATCAACCTCGAATTTGGTGAGCATAAATAGGGGAAGTTGGTAGCATTTACACAGGTTGGACTCTCTCACCTAAATTTCTACATAAGAGTACTTCTCTCTCTAAGGGAACTAACTTGGGCGTCGGAGGATTAACGGGCTCAGGCGCCCTCCTCTTTGTGTGTGTAGGCAGGCGTCGGGAGGAAGGAGGATCCCAGTAACACGCGGCGGGTATCGTGGCACAAACAACATCTTTACTTCCCTTAGTTTACTCTCTGTTATAGGCTTTAGAAAGGATAGGTTTCTGTGATTAAACCGAAACTTCTGATGAGGAGCCAAGTTGCTAAACAACGGAAGGAGCGTGCAAGAAAGCAGCAACTGGCGATTTTAGCTATGGTGCTGACTCGGGGTGATTTCAACGCCATTGGCTTGCTTCTTGTGCATCTCTAGCCGTTAGATCGAATGTGGTGATATTGCTGTGAATAAGGCCACTAATGGTTCAGCCGCTGGATGCTGCATGCAACCAACCAAAGCACAATTCACAATTGCACTTCAATTCATTCAAGCGCCTGCGGCTGCTTATTAAAGATATATACGCTACTCTGTTGTAGGGATAAGGGAAACTGTAGCGCCTGCTAAAATTGCCGTTTGGCTGGCTTTCTTGCTTTGAATTGTTCTTCCCCAAAGAGTACTGACCGGCGCCTGCCGAGATGCTAACAACAGACTGACAGGGAGAGAAAGCGCGCATCTTGAACCCGGTCCACCGGCGGATTGTTCAACCAAATCCCAGAAAATGAACACTCCGATGAAGTCCGCCTGTAAACTAAATTTTAAGCAGTAAATAGCGACACTACGGATCCTAGTAAAATTTGACACATGTACATATGGTTAACTATCGTATTTAATTATAAAATAGTAGAAACTCATAATTTAAATCTTAATATAAAGGAATAAAAATTATCAATTTTTTTAAATATGTGTATGGTGATGGAACCATCTTTTATAAAACATATCCTATTGCTCTGATAAATATCCGATACTAGATAACTCTAACGATATGAAATATTTAAACCACAATTTTATTTTAGTACAAAATGCCCTATTATTAATTTATCCGGAATAACATCCAATACAATTTTCCCCACATAATTTATCCCGTACGACCTATAATTAGGGCTGAAAGTTTGGTACCGGTATTTGGGATATATCGAATACCGTACCGAATTTCTCCATATTTGGTATTACCGAATACACGTATTATTTTTTGAGATTGGGATTCAATTTCAATTGTTATTCGGTATTAGGGATTACGGGATTGGGATCGGTATATACCGAAATACTGAACAAAACGAAATATAAGCTAATGTGTATTTTATGCTCTCAACTAAACTCTCTCATTCAATACTACACGACCCTCAACCACTAATCTATTGTTATTTACATAACATAAAAAATCAAACACTAGTATTAGTCTTCTCTTAGCCCCCAATTCATCAAATTAAAGATTACCAATGACAAAAACTTGAAATGTCACCTCTCCTCCATTCTCCTTATCCATATCCTAGCTCTAGCCAAACTCAAGACTCTTTGCTTAGTCTCTTTGTCCAATATTAAGCAATAAAATATAATTAATTTCTTATTCGATAATACCGATTGGGATACCGAAGTACTGATTGGATACCAAAATATTTAGGGATATCAGATTGAGATATCGAAATTATTTAGGAATTGAGATTGAGATTGAATTTAGGATGTAATTCAGTATTTTGATATTTGGTATTGGGATACCGATACCGTATCAATTTCCACCCTACCTATAATCCTTGGTATGATACTCTTTAGAGAGTGAAAAATTATCTAACAAAAAAGAATTTTAAGGTATTAATGGGGTTAAAAAAGGGTCTGAAAAGAAAAGAACACATCCCTTTGCCGTCGGCTTTTCGCGCTTCTCGAAAACCAGTCATTTCTTTTTTCTTCTCAAAAGGGAAGAAACAAAAGAAGAGCAAAACCCCACAGCTGCTTTCAGACTTCATTGTCTTCCCTTTAATACCGGCCTGCTGCTGCCCACTTAGTCACTCTTGTTGGTCGTTGCTTCTCGTTGAGAAACCTAGCTCGGTTCGGTTGGAGCCATCCTAGGACTTCTCGCTTTTTAATATGGAGCCGGCGGCGGAGGCTTTGTTGGAGCGCTACCGCCGCGATCGCCGGAAGCTATTGGAGTTCCTACTATCTTCCGGACTTATCAAAGAGCTCCGAACTCCTTCTGGTTCTACGAATTCCCTCTCCGGCGTCGATTTAGACTCTCTCAGCGCCGATTACGTCCTCCAATGCCTCCAGTCAGGTACTCACTGTAGCTGCCGCTTCCTGTTCCCTTTTTTCATTTTTCCAATTTAGAGTTTAGAATTTCAACGCGTTGTTTGGTTGACGACAAAGTCAAGAGTGGAGCACTTTCTGCAATTCTCAGCTCTTCTGTTCTGCTTTTGGGTTTTCGAATTATCGATTATTCTCCAACTGTGGAATGTATTTGTATTCGGCTTTAATATACGCTTCATCATTTTCTGTTGGATCCCGGCCCTGGAATGTAACTTGCAATCATATTGGTTGTTCTCAGGCGGTGTTATTGATGTTGCTGAAGCCTCTAAGAAGTACACCGAGGAATCTGCTTATCCTGTCATGGTAATCCTTTTGATGGGTGCATTGCTTCCTGATCCATTAAATTTGCTAGTCTTATCTGGATGTTGTTCAGTCATGTAATTACAACGTAATTGTGGCCTTCTAGTCATAATGTTCGAAAAACTAGTGTTGGTTAGGAGGAGATATGGATAACCCTTCGATTTGAAACCTCAGGCAGACATTGACGTCCATAATTCAACATATGTTATCAGATTTGAAGAAATTATAAGACCCTGTACTGCATTCAGCATTGCATAACTGTTAGTTTCTTCTTTGTATCAAATCACAGATTGATTCAAGAAGGGGAAGCTCATTTTACCTAGTTGCTGATCCAGATTTAGTTGGATCTCCTCCTACGCGAACACCTCCTCCGAAAAGTTTCAGACAGACTCCTGATGTCTCACGCGCATCTCGTCGCTCGAGTGCCTCACATACTGACGCGACAACTTCTGGAAATGAATGTAGTTCTACATTTAAAATTGCAGAACCTGATGCTCCTGTTAGTCCTTCAAGAGTTCTGGACATTCCTCAACTTGGATTACCTAGTTTGAGAACAGGTACGGTTTGGGAATGCGCATTTCTACATAAATTAGTACGTATATGTGGAAGTGGAAACAAGGAAATGAAATTTTTATGTTTAATTGTGCTATTGAGAATAGTTTGATTACTTGGCCATTGTACTTTTGAATAAGCTGGTACATAACCTCAGGATTTTTGAAGGATTATCTGACGATGACTTGAGGGAAGCAGCCTATGAGTTACTGCTTGCATCCATGTTTCTTTCTGGGTAATCTCTCTCCCGGCATTTTTTTGTATGTAAATTGTCACTGTGTTTCATAGAAGTGGTATCAGGATCTGAATACAAATTTGTTTCTTGTCTTATTTTGTATCTGGTGCTTTCTAAGTTTGAATTTCCTTTTTCTGTTCTTAATCTTATGCATACTAGGATTGAAACACATCCAGTTGATGATAGAAAAAGAGAGAAGAGTTCCAAGTTTTTGTCTGGACTAAAGAACAAGAGGGACAAGATGCAGACACAATCTCAATCTTTCTCGAGGCATGCAACTGTCATGGACATTGCCCGCACTCAAATGCAGGCAAGCCACAATACCTCATCCTTCCCATTTACAGTGTGATACTGATATATACTACTTGTGTGTGTGAGTGCTTTCGGGTAATTATATTCATACTGCACTTATTTGCTCCTAAATATTGCCAGCTCAACGATGTTTCTGTTGCGTATTTATCGTGCAATTGCTTATTTCAATCTCCCAAGTAAAACAGTGCATATTCGCTAGATTTCAGAAACCATGGATGCATGTGTCAGGCGAAACTTGCGGCAGTTGTCAGTGAGAATGGCACGGAGAGAAATGGATCTTCCTCATATAGTGTTGGGCCTTTTGAATGGAATATTCAAGTCTGATTTCACTCATGAAAAATCTTATCGGCAGTGGAAAAATAGGCAGGTAAAGCTGAGCTTATTTGTTGTCTCCAAGTCCTTTTTAAAAGTCATCAGATAAATGCAGGTATCATGATATCCAGACGACACAGTCTGCCTACAGCATGGTGAACCTCTGACAATCTACATCTATAGAACCATAATTCCCATGAATAGAAAAATATTGAAGAATCCTCCAGACTTCCGTTCAGATTGGTGCATAGAATAGTGTGAATATGAATAGATCTAATACCTCTCATACAAGTATAAAAATGGTCCAATAGAAGAGAAAGCTAGAAAAGAAGTTGAAAATAGAGTTCTGAACATCCTTTCCCATTTCTCCTCCATAAGCTGTGTAGTGGTGTGAAAATCTCTGGTCATAACTGACGGGTGGCAAGAAATGCCATAGACTCTTTACATTTGGACTGGCAAACAATCAGTTCAATTTACCGGTTTCTTATAATGTAGCCTCTTGGATCATTTCATAGTGCAATATTTTTTTTCCTTCCCCTACAGTATTATTTTGGGTAATTGCAGGCAAATATACTTGAGGAGCTTCTGTGTACGTCCAAAGATCCAACTATCAAAAGTCACATTGCGAAGATTAAAGACACTGAGGTACAATCCGGTCATGAAATATTCTCAGGAGAGTGAAGTCGGTGGTTTTGAAGCTTTGCTGATGTATATGCTATTATTTGGATGTTTTAGGAGTGGGACATTGTGATGTCTCCTTCTGAACGTGTAGCAGTTCTAGCGTCTCTTAGACAGGTGGCTCTTAGATTGTCTTCTTCGGCTGTTCAATTTGGCGTGCAAGGTGAAACCTTTTATTGGACTGCTGGTTATCACTTGAACATCCGGATTTATCAGAAATTGTTGCTTGGTTTGTTTGATGTTCTTGAGGAAGGTCAGCTCATAGAGGTAGAAATTGTTCTGCATACTACATCCACTGATGTCTGATACTTGTATCGCTCCAAATGATTTTCTTTCTCTTCTTTCTACAATTTTCATTTACCAGGAAGTTGACGAATTGCTGCCGTTTATAAAATCGACATGGTCTACTTTAGGCATCACTCAAAGAATACACAATGCTCTCTACTGTTGGACCCTTTTTCAGCAGGTATGTTTTCTTCAACTGAGATTGTTTTCATAGTTGAAGAACTGAGGTCAATATCATTGGTCAACAGAATTGTTATTCTTATTTTAATTCGTCTCGTGTTGAAGTTTGTTAGTACGGGGAACGCCTTGCTGCTAGAGAACGTGGTTGTTGAGTTGCAGAAAGTTATATCTGCCGAAGGGGAAAATGAGTTGGAACTACAATATATTAATAGCCTAGCATGTTCAAGAAGACACAACGGGAGCAAAATGAAGCTGAATCTGGTGTTAGATGTTGTTTTCTCAATTAGCATTTGCTGTGACAGCAAACTGAAAGATTATCATCTGAATTTCAGCCAGGTATAGTCTTCACTAGTCCCAAGTTTCCTTGTGCTGAACTCCTTGTTGATATCTTCCAGGCAGTGATTCAAGTTGGGCATACCATAATTACCGATTTGCACTTATCTTTAGAGTTTTTTTGATCGTACGCATGAAAGAAAAAAATGGATGATATAACCCATGATACTATCTATGCAAACCTGGCACTCGGTTGTTTTGTGAAAAGTTTATGAACTTGTCCCTGGAACCTCTTTCTATAATTTCCCCTTTTTTCAGGAAACTGCTGTTTCTATCACACCTCATTAGTTTTTCTTGTTTGCTTTGCAGCAACCATCTAGCTTCAGATTCATGGTGAACTTGTTGTCAATGGTTGGAGTTCCAACTTGTAAAGATAGTGGTGAACTTAAGGTATGATCTTGATGTGTTAACATCAATGTTCTGGATGAGAAGCCTCGTAATAAGTACTCCTGGTTCCGAAGCCATGTTGGGAGATATAGTTTTATTCTCTATTCCCAATCTCTTGATAGTTAATTCCTTTTATGAACTGAGATCTATGATATAATGGTAGAATTTAGCTCATTCGACCAACACCTTTTTTTAAGAGCTTTGCATCTGTGTTTTATCCTTTCTTGTCTTGAACTCTTGATCACTGTTGGGAAGATGAACTCTGGCCTATGTTAGGCTGTATTCAAGATGTGTGTCTAAGCATAATTGTAGTGCTCTTTGACTTTCACCATTGCAATATCTTCTTTAACTAGAAAGTTTTTTTTTTCTAGAACTCAGAAGAGTAATTTTGTATGCATTGCATAGCTTTGTTTCACTCAAAATTCATATCTGAGCATAAAGCTCTCAGTTTTAGATGGTACTTCTCCCACACTAAGCATACCTTTTTCCTCTATTGGAGTATGTATTTTCTGTTATTGTTGTCTGAGCAAAAAGCTGCTATGTCTGCAGTTGATAAAACTGAGTGCTTCGAATGATTATGCTGCTAGAAAATTGAAGTCTTACGTCAAAGGGTCAACTGAAGCTGCATGCAGGCGGGTGAGACTTGTTAATATTTATTGCTTTTCTCATCTTTCTAGCCACTCCATTTTGTGGGTGCATTCTGTGTGTGAATTTTCTTTCCACTTTCCTATGTTAAGTTGATCTGCATGGTTTATTTTTCTTTAGGTAGCAAGCAAGATATATGTTGAATCTAAATCAGAGAAGAGACATCCTTTAGCTCTCCTAGCTGATGGACTGAAGTCAATTGCCGAGAAAGAGTCCAAAGTCTTTTCTCCAGTTCTCAGTCAATGGTGTCCTGAAGCCCTGATGATCTCAGTATCGTCGTTGCACCAATTATTTGGAGAACAATTGGTTAGTCGGATCTACTTAAGTGAGATCATCTGAAATAGAAATTATTGCTTCCATAACGTCTTGAATGTCTTACTGGCTATATGTTTCTTGTGGCCAATTTTCAGAAACCTTTCCTGGTGGGAGTTTCATCTATTTCTGAAAACATTAGATCAGTGCTTGCTGCTGCCAACCAACTAGATTATTACCTAACTCAGCTGTATAAATCTGCGTCCAAAGCAAATACTTCGATTCGATTCTCGATCCAAGATTTGGAGCATTATCAGGTTAGCATATCTTCAGTTTTGGAACTCTTATTGCATGCGGCCAGAAATGACAATAAAGATGTTAACTTTGTAGTATGAATAATGGGGCTTAGTTGAAATTGCAGATGTAGAAGTTGTACTAGGTCAAATTTGTCTTTTAAATTTGCTTTGAATGTTTATGGGATGGCTAATTTCATTGGTAGCAATAACATATTAATATTCACTGTCTCCCTTTCCCCATGTACAGATTGCAGAAGTTTCTAAACCCTTCATTATTGACTGGGTGATCTCTCAGCATGATCACATTTTGGAATGGACTGGTCGTGCTTTTGATCTTGAGGTTAGTCCGTAGTTGTGGTGGATGATTTCTAGTGCAAGCCTCAATCAGATTCACATTGATCACTTAAAGCTTTATTATGCAATTCTTAAACGCACTGAATTAAATATGAACAACCACGGTAGGGTAATTTGCGAAACATGTGAATTTGAAAATAGTAGCTGGGGTAATTGATTTGTGTTTCTTGTGGTTTGTGCAGGACTGGGAACCTTTGTCCTTGCAGAAGAGGCAAGCGGCATCGATAGTTGAAGTCTTTAGAATAATAGAGGAGGTATGCATCATTATAACATATATATAGCCGTCCAATGTCTGAAAGTTTTGTTGTTGAAAACGCTTGAGTTTATTTGTTGGAGTCTGCTTCCTTATTTTCTTGGTCAGAACCAGGGCCATCATCTCGTGTTTATTATTTTCTTGCTCTTTCTCACATAGTTGTTCTTATCTTTCAGGCTGTGGATCAATTCTTTGGGTTCAATCTCCCTCTTGATATTACACATCTGCAGGCACTGCTGTCTATAATTTTTCACAGCCTGGATTCCTATCTGCAGAAACTGCTGAGTCAGTTAGGTATTATGCTACACCTGATAGAACAGTCAGCTTGCTTTAGTATGCTACTTGACCACTAACTGGACAGGAAGAGGAGTTGAACCCTGCCAATGCTGATTAGACTACTTTCCCTTTGTTTCTTACATAGTTTATGTCATAATTCTGCTGCTCTCATGTTGCATTGGCAGTTCCGAAGAATCATCTATATCCCCCCATTCCTCCGTTAACTCGCTATACAGAATCTGTTATGCCAGTGATCAAGAAAAAATTGTCAGAGTGTACTCTTGTGGATGACAACTTGGGCTGCAACTTGAATGGATTGACAACTCCAAAGCTCTGTGTGAGGTTAAACACTCTCCAAGTAAGTCCATATGCACATGCTGTATTGTACAATTGTATAATAATGTTTTGTGGCGAAACATCATTTTTGTGCATAAGGTAAGCATGATAGTGATAGTGATACTTCGTCGTCTTCCGAGACTCAGAGCATGGTTGACTTTTGTGAAAGATTGGTTTTTGATTGACTTGCGAACAACTGGAACCGTAGATGTGAAGAACTCACTCCTCGGAAGGCTTGATATTTCTATAATGAATAACTACTGAAAGAACTGCCTTCTGCTTCTGAAGATTGAAAGAGATATTAGCTTACAATCTTCATCTAATAAAACCTTTTGTTTACTGTTTTTCCATTCCCAAATTCTTCCAATAATCGATTCCCTCTATTTCAGCCTCGTCATTCTATTAGTTTTTTCAATTGTCCCCACTAGTACCAATTGCTTGCTAGTCCCGCAGCATGATGAAGTGATATTTTGGCTATTTTATTCAAGCATAAACAATCTAAGCAACTTTCTTGACATTTGTGATCCTTAAATAACTGAAATTCTACATACTTGATCCAGAGCCCTTCCTTTCCCCACACTGAAGTAACCCTACCTCTGGCTTTTCTAACTTAAGATTTTATGGCGATTCGGCTCATCTTCTCTGTAAAGTTATGTCGCTGAAATGTGAGGATGCCTGAAAATTAATCTGTGTTTTATGTTTGGGTACTGAAGTCCCCCAACCCACAAAGTAGTTTTAGCCTTTGAGGTGCTTATGCTGGTGATTTATAGCTTAAGTTTGTTTGTGCCTGCATGTTGTTCTGCTCACCTTTTGACCGAAGAAATGTTGCATTGAGATGCACTAGTTATGCGTTTGTCTCCTATTATATTTTTTTCCTTCCGTTATTTCTTGAACTTTGGTTAACATTTTTTAAAGTTTTCTTTTTGGTCCCCTGCATTAACTTTTTCTGTTAAAGAAAATGTTTCATTACTGTTCCTCGTATAACTTAATTCTTGCCTCTTTTTTATTCCCTTGTGCAGTATATTCAGAAGCAAACCGGAGTACTGGAAGATGGAATTAGAAAGTCTTGGGCAGCTGTGAGCCCATCTAAAAGCCATGGTGAGTTAGGGACTTAAACTGATAGCTTACATCTATAAAGCTTAACTAACTCTTCTGGGAAGCTCTTTTAACAGAAAATCACTTAGCTCTCTCCTAAGACTTACCATCAAATAGGTTGCCTTCTTTTCTCATGGTCAGTAAGTAGAGTTATTTTTCTGTTGGTACCCCATGCGTATTATTAGTCACACACAGTGCTTATTATGGGCCTGTAGTGACCCTTCAAAGAAGGCATTATCATTCGTTGTTCACTCATAATTATTTGTTATGCTATATATCTGGTTTTTATATTCTTTCATCTGGTCTTTTTCCTTCTTCCTTCCACTTGGAGGGCTGTTGCAAAAAAGTTGTTTGAATTTAAGCTAGTGTTTAAAAGGCTTTGCTTACAATACAGACGAAGAAGAACCCCTGGAAGAGAATGGTTCAAATGAAGCGCTGGACGCACTATTTAGCACCACCCTAAAAATCATCTGTGACACTGCAACTGATGGCATCAAAAAATTTTGTGAATTTTCTGGTGAGCTGGGTTCTTTTTGCACATGTATAATATGTGGCTGTAGTTTGTACTTCACTATTTACACAATTGTGAATAATGTGATGGCTTAAGTTGTTGCTAGATTTCATTCAAGTTTATATTATTATCAATCTTGTATGTGTTCTCTCATTCTGCCTTCTTTTTGTAGAACTGACCTCCCTGATCTGTTTCTTTTCGAATGTCACTTGGCAGGTGCCAGAGTAATCTTTTGGGATCTCAGAGAGAGATTCTTGTTTGGTTTATACCATGGTGATGTTGGATCTTCTCGCTTGGAAAGTTTCCTTCCTCAAATAGATAATGTAAGACTGTCAACTGCAGTGGACCCTCCTCTTTGTTTGTCTTGCTTCTTCGGGACTTCAAATGCCATACTTTCGCTTCTCTTAGCTGAACTTGTACTATTTTTCAGGTTCTTGATGAGATATGCCGATTGATTGATGATAAACTCAGAGACTCGGTGGTGTTAAGCGTTTGCCGAGCATCGTTGGTAGGTCTTTAAACTGTCTTTTGTACTTTGAATTTGCAAACCTTCCAGTATAGCTTGTATGTAATTTGTACACATTATCCTGCTACAGGAGGGATATGTTTGGGTGTTGCTTAATGGAGGCCCCTCTCGTGCATTCTCTGATTCAGATGTCGTTATGATGGAAGAAGACTTCAATATCTTGAAGGTCCATCATTTCCTCTCTCTCTCTCTCTCTCTCTCTCTCTCTCTCTCTCTCTCTCTCTCTCTCTCTATCCAATGCATATGTGTAATAATTATGTCTGTGTTTGGTTCATCAATAGTCATGGCCGAAATTCTGTGTCAAAAGACACAGTGCTGGTTTCGTTGCTGAGAAATTCATTTTCATTCTTCAGGAATTCTTTATAGCCAGTGGAGATGGCCTCCCTCGTTCGGTGGTGGAGCGAGAAGCAAAATACGCAGAACAGATAGTCAACTTGTTCTCCCTTCAGGTTTGCATGACTTGAGAATAAACCCGTCTATGAACATGAATCGTTATTTAAGAAAATATCTAATGGTGTCTGTTTGGCAGACAGAGGACGTGATACAAATGTTGATGAATGCTAGTGAACACATCTCGCTAAGGTCAGATGTACATTATAAACAACCGAATCATAATCACACGTCTTTGGATGCTCAAACTCTGGTTCGAGTCTTGTGCCACAAGAAAGACAGGGAGGCCTCTAAGTTTTTGAAGAGGCAATATGAACTTCCCATGTCTTCAGGTGAGTGAATCTTCCATTTTCTCAATTGAGAACCACCATGAGCCCAGTTCAAGACTTCCTCAAGTTACCCTGCTGTAAAATTTCACAAGGCTTTCCTTTTTCTTTTTCCTGGCAGATTATGATGAAGCATCATCATCAGCACAGGAGCCAGCTACCAAGTCACCTCTTATAACGGATATCCTGAAGAGGAGTGCATCATTGCGCAGTGCCTCAATGCGTTGGGGCGAGAAGGCCTCGCTTGGCTGGGGAGATAAAGGCTCTAGCAGCTTCAGATCACTGAAGCAAAGGTTTCATGATGCAACTAGTGAAATTAGTTACATGAGACGGTAAAACATGGCAGGAAAACCCGCGGTGAATGGTGATCCTAAGACGAACATGTCTTGGAGTGGGTAATGTCTGATTTTGGTTCAGAACCGGCCTGAATAAGTATTAGGAATCAATTGAAGATGAAGGTAAACGAGGACCAGAATTAGGAGGAGAACACACTTATTCGGTCCATTTTTCCTTTGTTTTAATAGGCGACATGGAAGTGAAAACAATAGAAGCGAGTGTTTTGATTGCCTTTCTACACACTAACGAGGGCCTCGAATTCACACCGAGGTTGCACTGCACGTTGAAAAGGTGCAAGTTCTGCCAATTAACGTGTTACTGCACAATGCACCTAATACCTTTGCCATGTGTTTCACGTTGCAGTTTAACTCGTACAGGGTAGAGTTGGTGTAATCGACTGTGAAGCTAGTTTGAAACACGATTCAGTAGCATCTTAGAAATGGGTTGTTGCTTCACGGAGGTCTAGGATAGAGTTGGTGGAAACATCTCCAATCCAAAATCACAAGGTCCCAAATATGAAAATCATGATAATACAGGGTTACGTTGACCATTTGGTAGTTACAGTTAGAGGTGACAAATGAATTGAATTTGTAGATGTTAAAATGGGGATTAATCGATTAGATTGAATTCACGAATCTAAGTGACGTCTAACGGTTTGATGATTATAATTTTTTTGAAAAGTTAAAGTATCAATATGCCATTCTAAAAGATTTAGGTAGCAAATATAATTTTTTGAAGTATATTTGTCATGCATTAATCAAGTATAGATTCCAAATTATAAACTACTAGAGCTGCAAACCAGTCAGTGATTCGAGTTTTAATCTAGTTCAGTGTCAGCTCATTGAAAAATGAATCGAGCTTCATTCGTCTACTAAAATCTTGACTCAAGCTCGGCTCAAGTCCTACTCAAATCGGGCTCATAACTTCATCTACTTGAGTTCGGTTCAAACTAATCTCATTTATAATTCAAAATGATTAAATCTCTAACACAAACTCTAAAATAAGTTATAAATTAGATAGCATTATATCCGTATAGCATACATGATATATGTGATTAATATATTTATGAATGAAAATAATAGTAAATTTCTCATGACTAATTGATATCACGTTTGTACACTCTGTTAGTACCATAGTTAGTTTATAAATGCTAATTAGTTGATGTATTTAACAAACTTAAGCAATCTCTAATAAATAAATTCGGTTTCAAATTATAAATGCAACATATCTAGTCACATACTCAAAGTCTTAAACCATCATAAGTTGTGAAAATAAATAATTTAGCAAACCGATGAACTATCAACAAGTGAACTCATGAGTTATAGACCGATTAGCTAAAAAGTTGCTAGTCGAACTCACTCGCTAGCCCAACTATCAAGTCAGTTTACGAGTTGTGCTCAACAAGCCACCGAATCAAACTGGCTCGCAAGTCTCACAAATTAATCAAATATTAGCTCAAACTCGGCTCATTAGTAAACAACTTGAATTTCGAACGAGTTTGTTAAAACTCTAATATCAAGCAACTGGTGAACAACTTGATTTGCACCCTAATAGATACTAAACGGTAATTTTGACGATTTTAATAGAAGGTATTGCCAGGAAGAACGACTCGCTATTTATCCCAATAAAATACACAAACCCAATTATGGGTGGCAAACAGGAAACAGCCAAAAACCTTTTGTTTGCTTTGACCGTTCCACCGCCGAAATTTTTGGCTCCCAAAAGTCAAACAAACGAAAGCATCACTGACATATTCTCATATTCGACAACATTTCCACCGGAATCCCAATCACCGTTCCTTGACAACTCCTCGCAACTTTCTCATCGGATTCCACCGATTCCCCTGGCGGCGGCGGGGGCCGCTGCGCCGTTAATCCTCCACCCGTCAACCTAACAGCAATGTTCAAAACCCCCTGCCCTCTGGTCCCATCTCTATGATCCATCACCCTGTAACTCAGGTACCGGACCATACCTCCCGGCGACGGCGAGAATCCGAAATCGGCGACCGGGATCTGACACCAACCCAGCTGAGCTCTGCCGGAGAACAGCCGCTTGGTGTAGAGTTCAAGGTAAATACAAGAGCATCGATTCCCCAAAAATGCTGCGTCCACTGGGATATAGAATTTGTCCCCCCACATGGGATTCACTCCTCCACTGTCGTCAATCCTCGTTGTGAAACTCTTGCTAGTCCAAGAATCTTCCCCGAGCGGCGGCGCCATTTTGGGGTAAGTGGAGACCGCGACGAATGGCCGGAGGCGGCGGTGGTTGGAGAATGGGAGTAGAGTTTTGGACATGTTCTTCAGGCCTTGTGCAGATATGATTGTGATTTCCATGGGTTGAAAAACAGGGGATTTGTTTTTGAACAAAAAGCAGGGGATTTCGAGAATGGCTAAATTGGGGCATGATTTGGATTTATTTATATATGTGTAGTGGGTATTTTGGGAGGGAAACAAAGTGGGTTCTTGGGAGTTTCTTGAGAGGTAAGGAGGAAGGTCCTTTGGATGAGTTGTTTGTGTGGAAAATATATATAGAAATGTATGGATTAGAAATTTATGAGAGACAGGATGCTTCTCTGCAAGTGGAAATGGAACAGTAAAGAGACAAGAGTTGGAATGAATGGACAAAGGAATTTTCTTTCCCGTGCTTGCTTGTGGTTTAGGGTGGATAAATCTGTCTTTTGTGTGTGTTTTTTGAAGTCAAGCTTGATGGAGAAGTTCTGAGAGTTGGGGAAATTTTGGTGGGTTGTTACTTGTTAGGCTTACTCATTCAAATTTATTGATTGATTATAAGTAGTTATAATCACAACTCTTCAACCGAAGTTTAAAGCACTAATATTTTTTCTTTCATTGATAAAGATGGTATTAGTTTGTTTTGTTGTTACATGCTACTTAAATGATTTAAACATACAACCTCCACGTTAAAGTTCAAAGGTAAAACAACTAGATCAATCCTTGTTCGCATTAAGCAGCCACACTTACCTCATTGAGATCCCGAGTTCAATTTCTTGTTAATATTTTCAACTACCAATAGAAAAATGTTAGTAGTTGTAATTTAAATGGTTAAGGAGGGATAAGATTGATTACTAAAAACTGGATTTTGGTGCGCATACAAACTAAATTCTAGAAAAGTGACTTGATAATAAGGTAGAAAGTAGAAACGTCAACATAGGGGTTTTTTTTTTTTCTATAGCATGCCGGCCATTCATAGTTACTTTTTCTAAATCATAAGTAGTTTCAGAGAAGTTATACTAATTGCCAACAGTGAAAGCATCTGCGGTTGGACAATGTCTGCATAACAACAATGGTGCTCTGTTTATTTAAAGTCTAGAGGGCAAGGGAAGTCACCGTCATTTCCGATCCTCTCCAATCCTCGCCTCAATCGTGGTGCCTCCGTCAATGATCTTCCCAACGCCCAATTGCGCCAACAGAGAAAGAAGAATTCAGATAGGCTTTTGGGTTTCGATGAATAGAGATTGGGAGATTCGATCAACGACCATCCTTAGTGTTTCCTGTTTTTTGAATTACGTGGTCGAAGGGAGAAGGAAAGAAGATGGAGAGAATTAGAAGAGAATCATAGGGACTAAATATTGACATCGAGTTTTTGGATAATCGGACAGTAACTATTAACCGGTAAACCGGTTAGTCGGTCGTTTCTTTGGTATCAGTTGTCGACAGCAAATTAAGTTAAATCGGTATACCGATAACTGGTAAGTCGGTAACCAATTTAACCGAATACCGACCGATTACCAGCCCTACTAGCCACTCGTGTTTCCCAAACAATAAATCTCATTTCTCTTGAACTCACAACTAGGGCTGACTATTTGGTCTGGGCTATTTGGTTTTACCCAAAACCAGACCGTATAACCAGATCCGGAACTTGACTGAAACCGGATAGCAAATAATCCAATCCAATCCAATCCAATCTTCGGGCTTAGATTTGAGGTAAAAAAACCACTTGAGACCGGATAAGATAGCCCAACGCCCAAAACTTAACCAACTCCTCACTCTTTGAGTCCTTAGACCACTCAAATTCCCACAAGTTCAATCTAAAATCAAGACCGAATTGGGACCGGACCGGGTCACAACCGAGCCGGATCAGGACCAGACTGTATCCAATCCAATCTTTGGTCCTTATATTCCCGAAAAGACCGGACTGAGACCGGATCAATTCAGGGCAATTTAACCGGACCGGAACGTATAGCCACCCCTACTCACAACACACACATTTTTTTCAATTAACATATAAGAATGAATCGCCCAATACATTCCCATACCCACACGTTTAATTTATTCTGATACCCACACGAAAATTACTCATACCCTTCATCGCAAAAAAATGTCGTTTGCTATCTCAAACCGGGCGTTTTTCGATTACGTCAAACTTTCGGAAGATCGTAACTTTATGCTTCGTTTTTTGATGCTTCGTTGTCTGATCATCACAACCAAAAAATTTATTGTGCTTAATTTTTAAGGACTACAAAATTTCCTATAGAACTATTTTCAGAATGTATGTGGAAATGTGGAAATTAAATATTAGATCATTCTCAAACCCCCTTAATTTAAATAAAATGTTTTCTTTGTAATTTTCTTCCAAGTAAAATTGTAGATTTTGAAAAGTTAAACGGAATAAAATATTTTTGCTACAATTGACAACCGAGAGCAAAGTTATAATCGTTTGAAGTTTTGAACCTAGATTAGAAGTGGATTGCGGAGCTGACCAACGATCTGATCGATTCACTAGGGTTAGCCGCAAAACCACACTCATTTTGAAAAACATTAGTCATTTCGGCCTCGATTCGACCCCTTCGGATGTGATTTCCTCCTATTTCAAGCGAATCACTACCTAGTTCGCTCACTCTGTTTCTTTCTTTCTTTCGCACACTCGATCTGTTCCTTTTTTAGAAAGCTAAGTGTCTCTGGTTGCAATTTTCCAATTAAATTTGGAGTTTTTAATCGTAGATTGGTTAACTCCGCACACAATATGTTGTCGCTCGTTGACCAGATTATAAAAAATAAATGCACGAATAATAAGGGTATATTTTATATGATGTATTTCACATTGCTTTTGCACATTATAAAATTGCAACGCTCGATTGTCAAACCCCAAAAGAAGAAGAAAAGCAACAAAAATGACTATATTGGCACATGTTGTTTTCTAAAAAGTACACATTCTCAAAATCAAGCAAGCACTTTCTAGTTTCTACAACTTGGTAGCAGAATTGTCCAAGCAAACAGAGGCCGGCCGCAAATGTAACAACTAGTTCCACAGCGACCAATCCTGATGATTACTGGAACTCTCCCCGTAGCTCCACTGATCACCGTGACTCTCCTCCATCCCATAGCTCGGCGGCGGCGGAGGCAGCAGCAGCCCTTCAGCCATCTCCGACAGCAGCCTCGGCATCTGCAGCACTTCCTCTTCGTCCACGTAATGACCCCCACTACCATAATTACCATCGTAATTGCAGCTGTAATCGTAATTACAATTCCCGCCACTACTACCACCGGAGCAATCATCTTCTCCGGCCGAGAAATGGTATCCCTCCTGCGCCTCCGCCCGGCGGAACATCTCGGCGGCATCGGCGGCGGCCTTCCTGACGTCCTTGGCGTCGGTGGAAGCAGGGGCGGGGAGCCTCCAGGCAGAGTCCGCGAAATTGAGGCAGGCGGACTTCCCGCGGAATGCGAGGGCCGCCACGTCATGAGCCCGGGCCGCCATTTCCGGGGTCGGGTAGGTCCCCAGCCAGACACGTGTCTTGGTGTTGGGGTCGCGGAGCTCGCAGACCCACTTGTCGCCGTTCCTCTGCCTCACGCCCCTGTACACCGGGTGCCGCGTCTCGTTGAACACCTTCCTCCCCGCCCTCTTCTTCGGCACCTCCGCGGCCAGCCGGTACTGATCCTGATCCTGATCCTCCGCTGCCGGCGCTGTTCCTCCGCCGTAGGATATCATCGACGAATCGTAGGATGACCACTGGTCGGGGTACTGGTGGCATTGACTTCCGAAGAATGAATCCATTTGGTTGACTTGTGAAAGTTGGGATTTGATTTTGGGAATTGGAGGAATTGGAAGTTGGAAGTTATTCTGGAGTTGGGAAGTGGCGGGAATCTGGTATTTATGTGAAACGGCGACTGGCGACTGGCCATGGGAAGACCGGACACGGGTTGGCCGGAGGAAAGGGGAAGAGTAAAGTTGGGAGTGGCATCCCACGGTTTATCCACAAGGTTTGTACTTAATTAATGATGAAGAAAAGGGAAAATGATTTCCTATTTTCTGACGTGGTGGGCCAGTTAGACTGTTAATTGGCTTGTTGCTCTCTTGTTCGTTGTTTGTCACTTTGGGAAGGAGTCTTTTTGGGTGCCAGCTAGGCGTTTCCCCGAGTGACTGCAGTGTTGTTTTTTGAGTGTCCTGTCTCCCATTCTTATTTCACCACGTGGTTTTGATTTTGCATTGTGAAATTGTAAAATATTGTAAAGCGATTTTCAGGTGATTCTTTTGTGGCATGCAGCATATATTATAACTTAATTTGGTAAGTTGATGGCGTAAGGAATGATGACCACTGTTAATGATTTGGATTATGGATTAGTTTTTGTTAGTTTAATGATTCTTAATTACCCAATCTTGCTTCGACTTGGGAACGGATGAAAGGGGGTCGGTGACGGAGGCAGGATTCAGAACTACCCTGTCCTTTTTTTCAAAATATAAAAATTTGATAATTAAAATTAAAATTAATAATATCCAAATAATTCATTAATAGATAAAGAAATAAGTTAATACAAAAATTGTTTGCATAAACAACCACAACGAGTTTTCATATTATGAAAGAATTACAAAATACATTGATTGTTTACACTCTTAAGTGAGCCTCTTTCGATATTTCCACTAAACAATCATTAACAAACTGATCATCAATTCGACTTCGAAACTTGTTCTTAATATATCAATCTAAAAAGCTCTTTTCACGTTCGGAGTTGCAACTGGTAGTATCAAAACTAATTTCAGAAGCAAATAAAGTGACCGATATAACCTATGCACTTTTGTCTCCACCATGATCTGAGATCATTTATCAATTTCTTTCAATCCAACAAATCTCTCATAAGCTATAAATTAATTATAATATCCAACAATTTGTTGTCGAATAATAGTGTCATGAATGAAACCAATAAGTTAATTATTTTTTGACAATTAATGAACAAATAATGAATTATAGTGTAGTGCCAACATATCGTTATATTACTTGTAGGTGTTAAGTTTATTCTCCATTCAAACATGCATATATAGGATTATCTTTTCCCCTCCCAAAATTCGTCCCTGTCCTGGGACAAGGGCAAACTGCCCTCCCTCTGCCTATGAAGGGAGTGAAGCGAAATACGTACTTAGTGATGTGCATATGTATTTCACCGATTCAAGAGGTGTAATTCCGTGTATGCCTAGGCGCGTTTAGGCGCTAAGTAGCGACAAAACGTCTCGCCTAAAGGCTAGGCAGGCAATTAGGCGTTCAAATGCCTATGCATCATCTGGGTGCAGTTAGGCGTGATTAATCGGAGCTAAGCTGTCTAACAACTAAAGATAAAAAATTAATAAATATATTAAATGTCCCAAAATAACCACATCCTTATGTTTGATTAGTTCCTCCTAACACCATGTCCTACACATGGCTCCTTCCTTGATCGGAACATAAAAACAAGGTCAGTTGTGCTCTATAAATTCAACATGTGCGACTGTAGTGCTTCTTGCCTCCAACTTTGGTCGACCCCATGCTCCGTCCTACTATTGCCACCCGTCAACAGCTAAACAACCAAAATGGCGTTGCCATATGTACTACTTCAGTTCCTAGCCCGTTTGTATCTAACTTCGGTCGACCTAGCCAGCCTTCTCTCTTACTCTTCACTGTCGTGATATGTAAAATTGTTAATGATCGCTTAAAACGCTAAGGCACTATCTAGGCGTCCTAGGCACTAGACAAGACCCCAATGCCTGCTTAGCGTCTAACGCTTTCTTGAAACTTAATTTTTACGTAATAGCAAACGGATTAAAGAAATGTTGGTTCTCTCTCTACTAGAATAAAAACATAACTATAATTTCTCAAACAGTTCTCGTGTTTTCATGCGTTTCTCAAAGAACTTCAAGAGAGTTGATATATAGCATCAACCGAATTCTATGTTTTTGTTTAATACCATGTGTTCTCTGGCGAGAAAACTTGCGTTGAATTGATATTGATTGCACCTTGACTTCTTTGGACAACGATTACTAAGACACGGCTCACACCTCTTCAAACACAGTTCGAACGAGGGTGATCGATGTTTACACGACTCTCGAGACAGATCTACATTAAGTTACTCCTACTCCTATGGAGGTTCAGTGAGAGCTCCAGATCTACGACTACGGCTAAAATTGCAGAGGAAAGGATAAAGGGATAAAATTTGACATAGTGTTGTCTGGTGTGAATTTGGCGAACCTCCTCTCTGACAACTCTTCCTCCTATTTATAGGCTTGAGGTGATAACCGTCGTAGAAAACTGTCTGGAGAGTAACTTGCAAAAAGAACCGCTTCCCTTCTTTCCCGGACGTGGCTGACGTGTCCTTGAACGTGGAGTAATTGACAGTTTCTCAATCAAACCGTCGGCTCTCCCTTTTGGAACTGACGTCTTGTTACTTGCCCTTTCCTTCACCATGGCTATTCCAGATCTCGCGGCGAGGTGGTTCGTCAAACATGATGACAACTCTACGGGGTGGTTTACCAAAACTTGACGCAAGGAGGCTTGTCGCGACAAGGCGGTCTACCAAACTCTACGCGAGGAGGCTTGGCGCTTAGACTTAGTAGAGGCTTGGCGGACTCGCGAGTGGCCTGACGCGAGGAGTCTTGGCGCTTGAACTTAGTTTATTTTGTGTCCTTCTCCCCACATATCTTGTAGACTCGCGATGTGGTTTAGACAAGGCAGTTTGTCACGACAAGGCGGTCTACCAACTTGACGCGAGGAGGCTTTACGCGAGGAGGCTTGTCGCGATGAGGCACCAGACTTAGTTTATTCTCATGCGTCATGTCAGGCCTAATCATTTGGGTTTAAAAATCTAGTATCGTAGGCCCAGTTTAAATAACATTAATTGTTATTGTTGATCTGGCCTTATAAAGACAGTTAATGTCTTGTAAATAATCAATGTGGTACACGATTATTTTTGTAGTGTAAACAAATGCCCCCCAACTACTTAGTGCATAAGAATTATGGACTAAGTAGTTGAACACCACCATGCTAGCGAAAGTAACAAGCTGGCTAGTGTCTACTCAACACACCTAGTTCGTCCTTAGCCAAAATTTGGCTTTCACGTCAAGCCAACACTGTAGGATGGAACTCGACGTCAAAACTTGTCTCATGCCTTAGCCAAATTTTTGGCTTTTAATTATCAAGCCAACATGGCCGGATGGAACTCGCCGTCAAGGCTTGTCTCATGCCTTAGCCAAATTTTGGCTTTTAATGGTCAAGCCACCTAATGCATTCAACGAGACACCAACTTCACTTTATCACCTACACCCTCATTGACATCTCGTACTTAGCCACATGGTTGAGAGAATAACTTGGAATTTTTCGCACCTATTTTGGCATAGATTGACTCATCTCACCTTGTCACAAGGCTAGACAGCTCCCTCGCGACAAGCCAAGCCGTCTACTTTTTGCCTTAGGAAAAATAATGTTCATTTTGATGTTGGTAGAGACATTATGGTCACCACTCCTCTACTACCACGTTTCAAGCCATCATGCCTCCCAGGCCGTGACTACTCGGGACAAGATAAGATAGCATGGCATGGCCTGATGTATGGCTCGTCATGCCAAACCATCATAATGACCTGGTGGCAAAAAAAAAAAAATTCACATCGAAGTCTAACAACTCCTACTCAATTTTTCACTTTGATATTTTTTTTAGCCATTGTTGGCTACTAGTTATTATTATTATTATTAATAGTATATATATACTTATTTATTTATTTAATATGGCAAGGAGTGACAGAGTTAGCGCTCTTCGTAGCCTTTAGCAACAACTAATGCGCCAAAGGTGTACACCCACTGCCAAGTCCTTGGATCAAACCAGACATGACATCCATAGACCACATGACTCTTTTCCTCCATGGGAGATGAATCTTCATACATTAACTTTGAATTTTCTAGCTTACTAATGAGTGGTACATGGTCAGCCTGTCCAGTCTTGGTGGCCTTGCATGAGGTCTCATGCTTCTTTGCTTGGGCCACCTTACTTGACATGTCAAGGCTATCATGATTATTCTTCTGCCTTGATTTCCTCCCACTTGATAAATGCTTAATCTCCTCATGATGTTGGGGACCAGGTCTAGGCTTGACAAGTTGACAACCACTCGTGTAGCTTCCTTGTCTTCGTCTTTCAATATATAAACCTTGTTGGCCCATACACTTAGCACTCAACCACCATTGATTCTTTATGCAGCCATGTTTGGCTGGTGTGTATGGTGACTTCTTATACATGCCCCCATGTACACTTTTTGTGGTTAGTGTCGAGTACTTACTATTCATTGACATGGACTTGCCCCCCAATCCTCCCTTGTCCATAATCTCATGCTTACAAAATCCATGTGAGAGTTTGACTTCTTGTGTCTTCTTGGAGATGCTGTCTACTCCATTCTTCATGGTGGGTGAAATGCTCCCTTGTCCAGACTTAGCCAAATTTGCGAGACTGTGACAACTCTTTCTGCCTTTTCCACGTCTTTCCTTGTTGGACTTGCCCCCATGTCCACTGTTTGTGATTGGTGGCATGCTTTCTTGTCCAGACTTAGCCATATTATTATATTTATCACAAACATGTGATGCTTTGGGTTGATGTGGCTTCTTGGAAACCAGCTGCCCCCTAGATGGACATCTCGACTTCTCTTCGTCAACCTTAAAACTCTTCTTGCAATGAGCACACAACTTCTCAACTTCATCAGTCATCATTGCGGCCAGGCTGGCCTGCTTGGTACATGACGAGCTTC